ATAGATGGTGTGATGATCGAAAGAGATGATATGGTTCAGGTTGACCACATAAGATTTACCCACGCGGTGGAAAATAGTGTCGGGGATTTTTAGATGGATGGTCTTTAGGTTCATGGCCGTAATCAGTTTCTGATATGGGGTATGCAACACGACGTAATCCTTGAGCCCTTCAATAAATTTAATATCGGCATACATGACTTTATGGAACTTTCTATCCGCTTTGATCATCATAAATTCGGATGTGCTGGAGGCTAGTACATTTTTTTGTTGATCGTTGGCGAGTAGACGATGGTATAATTTTGCCTTCGCTATGGCCTTCGCTAACCTGGTCTTTTTAACCGGCTTCAACAAATAATCAATCGCGTCCAATTCGTAGCTTTTTAAAACATATTGCGGGTAAGAGGTGGTAAAAATCACCAATATTTCTTTCGGCAGGCTTTCTGCAAACTCGATACCCGATACCAAGGGCATTTCGATATCCAAAAAGATCAGGTCAGCTTGATGGTCTTTCAGGTACAATTGCGCTGCCGGCACATTGGAGAAGGTTCCCGACAGCTCCAGATCGGACACCTCCCGTATCAAGGTTTCCATTTCTGCTCTTGCCAAAGGCTCGTCTTCTATTACTATACAGTTCATAAGGGTATACTTAGTTTAACGGTATGGGTACATGCATCGGCAATGGTTTGAAGCTGGTAGTCATCACCGTAGAGGAGTTCCAGCCGCCGCCGTATGTTCGCCAGTCCAATGCCGCCCGGCTTTTTGTTCACGCTATTGCTGTACAAGGCATCTTTTGAATTGATACACGTAATGCATAGCCTATGGTGTATTTTTTCAAAATGAACGTTTACATAGGACGCTTCCTGCCCTATAGATACGCTATGTTTAATAGCATTTTCTACAAAAATGGTAAATAAATTGGGCGGTATTAACAGGCTATTGATTTCCATTTGCGGGATAGCTGTCGTAATGGATATCGTAAAATTATCACGCCTGGTTTTTTCGAGCTCGATCAAATTGGTAAGAAAATTTAATTCTGACTTAAAAAAAGTTTTATCTGCCGTGTTCTCGTACAATTGGTAGCGTAAAAAATCGGATAATTTGAATATCATATGCTCTGCCTTTTCCGTGTCGGTCCGCATGGTGGCTTTGATCCCATTGAGCATATTGAAAAGGAAATGTGGTGATAGCTGATTTCGGAGGATATCCTTCTCGATGGCGACAGTGGTGTCTTTCAGCTCATTGATTTCCGCATTGTCCAGTGTCCATCGCTGAAAAAGC